TATTAAAATAAATAACAGTTTTTATTTTAAACTAGTTTATTAAAAATATAAAAATTTTTTAACTATTATTCTTTATTTATTAATTCTAATTTAATTTTATTTTTATTTTTATAAAAGTATTAGTTAGCTAAGTAATATTTATTATTATATTTATAATAATAAAAAGTTTTTTTTTTCTAATATCTTTTATTTCGAGGAGATTTTAATAAAAAAAGCTTATTATTAAATTATAAAAATTCTAATTTTCTAAAAATCTTATTTAAATAATATTTTTATTTTTTTAAATCTTATTTTCTTTTTTAATTTAATATATTCTAATAATAAATAGTAATAAATACTGTTTTCTCTTAAAAATCTGGTAGTTTTAATATATATTTATAAATATATTAACTAAGTTCTAGTACTAGCTTTATACAAAATTTAATATATATTTATTATTTTATTTAGATTTAAAATAATACTCTAAGATATCTAAATAAAAATAAAAATTTTTAAATTCTAATTATTTTACTAGTAGGTCTGTTTAAGTTGTTTTATAATATTAAATTATAAAGTAACTATATTTTAAATAAGAAAAAGTTTATTAAATAAAATAATTTTATAATATTTTAATATTTTGGTGGTCTTCTAAAGATTTTTTATTAATATATTAATATTATTTCTACTAATAAATAGAGTTTAAATAGCTAATTATAATTAAAAATTTTTAATTCTTTATATAATATTTTTAAAATGTTTTTTTAAAAATATATTATAAATTATAAATCTATTTTGTTTTTTATTATAATCTAAACCGAAGAAAAAAATAAAGATTTTTTTAAATTTAATTTTTTTTATATTTAAAAAATAAAGTTAAACTAATATAATATTATTATAATTTTATTAAAAATTTAATATTTTTATATTTTATTTATAATACTTAAACCTATTTTTTTAATTATTTTAACTATTTTAATTAATATATCATAGTTTATACTTCTTAAATATCTATTTAGATTAGATAATATAATTTAAAAACAGATAAAATATCTTAAAATAATTCTAATAAAAATTTATTAAATAATATATTACTTTTTCTTAAATAACTAAAAGTAAAAAGAATTAAAAATTATTAAAAACTATTTAATATAATAAATATGCTGGTTAGGCAAGACAAGTATAATAATTAAAAATAGTTTTTTATTAATTTTAAAATTAATTTTTAAAAAATCTTAAAATAATATATTATATAAAAAGAAAAAATAAGTAATATAATAATATAAGTATCCAAATTAAAAGTCTGAATAAATCCGTATCGACCCCGGAGCGGGCTGCTATAATAGTAGATATAGACTACTATAGTAGTAGGTATTGTATAACAATATAATATGAAAGTTTAGATATATATATAATTATAAGAAATTATTATATTATTATTAATATTAGAATTTTAAAAATTCATATAATCTATAATAGAACTGGTTATAGTAAAACTTGTTATATCAAGAAATTAGATATCAGTTATAGAAATTATAAAAATAACAAAATTTAAAATAAGTAAAAAGATAATACTTTAATAGTAAGTAATAAATAAAAAAAAATAAAAACAAGCAATTAGCAAGAGATTGATAAAATATAAATAAAAAAATAATAAAAATAGTTAAAAAAGAGCTTATTAGTAGTACCGCAGATATTTATCCGTATAAAATATTAGTTTTAAATAAATCAACTAATTTAAGAATATTTTATGAATAATTCCAATTAATATTAAACTTTTAGATAAACTAAGAATTATCGGTAGGATATACTATTATATATTAGCCGGAAAACAGCTGCTTATAATAAGAATTAATATAATTACGAATATTTGGTTAATTCTCTAACTATACTATATATACGATATATGAAGGCTCGCCGGAGACAGAAGAAAGACGGTCTATGCCGGCAGTTCGCCTAGGGCCAATATTAAACAAGATTTAATTGATTTTTAATTTTTATCTAGATCATGTATAAAAGTAATAGAAAAATAAATTTAAAATTAAAAATTAAGAAATTTAAAATAATAAAAAAATAGATAATTAAAAAGATAAATAGAATAATAAATTTATTATATAATCTTTAAAAAAATAGAACTAAGTAAACTAATTTAAAAAATCATAAAAGATATTAGATTATATAAACCAAATTCTTTATAAATTAATTTTATAAATAGAAAGCTAGTAGATTTTCTGATTAGAATATCTAAAAATTTAATATATATAAGAATAAAAATACAGAGGTAAAATAAAAAAAATAGAATAATAGATCTTAACTAAATTAAAGAAGACTAGGGCTTAGAGTTTTAACACCCAGGTGACCAGCCAGTCTAACAATTATATATATCTAATATATATAAAAATTATGTAATTTATTTTAATCTAATTTTTTGAATAAAAATTCTAGTTTATTTTAAGATTTAAAAATATTTCATAGAATAATTAAATATTATTAATAAGCTTTTTACTATATATTATTCTAAAATAAATAATTAAACTAAAAAACTAATATAATAATTAAATAATATTTTTATTTGTATATAAATTATCTAAAAAATAAATAAAACTAATAGTCTTTCTAATCAAATTTATACCAAATATAATTTACTTTATAATCCACTTATACTATCTTATTTTTAGAAATTATAATTTTTATTTTTATATAAATTTTCAATTTATTATTCTTTTTAATAATCTAGCTACTAGAAATATAAATTAGTTTATTATAAAAATATAAAGTATTATTAATTTTATTAGAATAAAATATTAATTATGAAAGCCAAATATATAGAATAAATAAATTAAAAATATAAATCTATAAAAAGATTACTAAAAAATATAATTAAATATCTATATAATTAGAATAATAAGATTTAGATAAAAATTCAATTAAAATTATATAAAATTATATAAAATTAAGAAAATTATTAGTTAATATATCTATTTACTAGTTTTATTTTTTAGTATAAAGATCTATTTTATATTTTATATTAATTTATCTATTGTTATTAACAAAAAACCAGTTTATATTAATATTAATTTTTATTACTATATATAAAGATTAATAAACTAAAAAATCAAAAATTAAAAATATCTCTAATTTTCTATAAAACTACAGAAAATATAGCTGTTTTAATTAATATATATTATATAATAAATTAAAGATTTAGATTTAACTACTAAATTGATCTAGTATCTAAAAATATTTATTTAATAGTAAAGAACTTGTATTACTATTATTCTTATAAATTATAATCTATATTTTAATAAAACTTGATTTTGAAGAAAATATATATTATTATAATATAGATTTAATATACTAATTTTATTTAATTTATTGAATCTATCTATTTTATTCATTAATCTATTAAACTGATTTTTAAGTAATTTAATTATTCTATATATAATTTATAATCGTTTTAATTAATTATCTATTTCTAATATTATTATAGCTTTTTAAGCTATATCTTATCTTTAAATCTAAACCTAGCCTAATCTAATAACTAATAAAAATTTAGAAAAGTATTATGATAAAGTTAGTTAGCTAAAGCTGTTATTCCTACTATTCAGTCAGACTAAGAATCAGACGCCAGCCCGCTCCTTGACACGCCTTGTTAAAATTAAAATACTAAAGCTTTTAGAACTGGAAAGGCCTCTACAACTGGGAATCTCCCAGCCTGCGGGTGACCTCAAATCAGTTATATCAATCTTTGACATATCCACGTTTATTGTATTATACCATGTTCATCTACTAAAATCTTTGAAGTTCCTATTACCTATTATAATCTCTAGTATAGAATTCTTGCTGTAGAGACTCGTATACACTAAATATATGAATTTGGGTGCAATTAACTTTCAACTTGTATTGATAGTTAGTTACTATCTCCCAGTATAGTCAGCAGCGGGCAGATTTCACTCTGATATGTAATAATACATAGTTCTGGACTTGCTTGGTTTTACAAGAAGTAAATTAATCAAGACAAGACTACTGGACTAGGGTTCTTGATTATGCTATTTGTACTTACTGCATACAAGATAATGCTTATGTCTATAATGCTTATTATTGTTAAGAGGTACACACAGTGAGTTTCAACAGCCTAAGATTCTTATAATTAGATCTTTAGATAGGACAGTTGATAGATACTGGTCAATCATGTATATACTCAGCAGTCAAAAATCTATTAATTGAACCTATTCTTTGATGTGTAGAGAAGTAAAAGTCTGCGTGCCATGTTTGTGCCACCCAAATGACTGGCTCTAGCTTAATAGTGGATATATTCAGCTTTGATATTCTACCACCAGGACCCATAAAGGATCCATAGTCCATGCAGTAAACACCAAGGTGGCCCTCAACTATAGCCAGGCTCTCAGTAGATCCCCTTAAGCAGTTGCTATTGCCACTCATTATGTCCTATACCACTTACGTTGGGTGATATGTGTAGACATGGTATCAAGGGTCCTACAACTTACTGTGATACTTACTAGTTGTTGACCCAAGCCCCGGAAAATCATGGTAGAGGAAGACGATAGTACAAGACAGCCCCTCAATAAAGAACCTCAATAGAGAGGCATTGTCCAATAAAACTACATATCCTAATATTCGTCTCAAGCGGGTTTTAAGCAGCTGTTAAATGATACCTGACTGTATGTGAAGTCTTCATTATTAGCTTGCCGCATAACGCCTAGCATAGTGGGATCAAAGAGAATAAGATGGTCAATACTGCTTTCCTTTCAATACTTATACTTGGCCTTTCTAGGCCTTCTTATGTTGAACCAAGGATTTATTTGTATTGGGCCACAGTAGCTACTTTGATAATCCCATATCCACAGGCTCCCTGACTGCATCATAATTAGCACAAAAATGATTGGACATCATTTCTGATGGGCTGAAGCAGTGCAATCTGGAGGTGATACGTCATTCAACCACCATGCCACCTCCAAATGAGATGGTAACGTCACCTTGACGAAGATGCAATGCGCTAAACTGAACTTTTTCCTCCTACATAAGTCATCTAATTTAGTCGCAAGCGGTAATGAGTTGTAGATAAAACTCTCACCTTTGCGGAGTTGTTGATCTTCCAGTTAAAGCATCCAGCGGCCGTGCCTATCTAAGCGCCTTCAATATGCAAGAATACACCGAGAAATCATCGCGGGGAAGCCCTTCCCAGTTCAAGCCCGGTAGACGCTATTGCAACCATTGTTTCCGGCGGGAAGCTGACTTATACTGCAGGTCATGAGATACCCATTCAACATCAAAAAAAGCCAGGCTCGCAGGCCGATCTCGAACAACCGAAACCAGCGTCCAGCCACATACCCAATGAGGATGGAGGTTACCAGAGCTACAAAGCAGCAGGGAAGTTGATTGGCAAACGCGCTATAATCACCGGCGGCGACTCAGGAATCGGACGTGCCATAGCCATTTTGTTTGCGATGGAAGGAGCGACAAGTCTGATAGTCTATTTACCCGAAGAGGAAAAAGACGCACAAGAAACAAAAACAAGGGTGCAAGAAGCTGGACAAGAATGTCACTGCATGGCCACCGATCTTCGCGAAAGGGAGAACTGCCGCAAGGTGATCAATACCGCACTAGAAAAACTAGGTGGCATAGACATCCTAGTGAACAACGCCGGGACACAGAATATGATCGAGGACCTCAAGGATTTAGAAGAGTAAGTAAGCTCTTAATCCGATGACGCTCTCCATGCTCTGCCCGTAAGGTTCGGGATCCCGATGGTTCTCCCAACGGCAGTATAAGAGGAGCCGTCAGATTTCGTATTCAGTACGTCGCTGTTAGCTGACAAGAGCACAATAGGAGCCAGTGGGTAAAGACATTTGATACCAACATCCATCCTTTCTACTACCTTAGCAAATACGCTCTCCCCTACTTGAAGCGCGGCTCAACCATAATCAATTGCGCATCTGTCAATGCTTACATCGGCCGGCCTGATCTGCTCGACTATACATCGACAAAGGGAGCCATTGTTGCCTTCACGCGAGGTCTATCTAATCAGCAACTCAAGAATGGCATTCGTGTTAATTGCGTTTGTCCAGGGCCAGGTAAGGTTTGACCGGAGAGACTTAACTTACGCGAACAGGATGTGAACTAATATGAATATACTTAGTTTGGACCCCGCTTATCCCTGCCACCATGACGACCACTGCGATGGAGCAATTCAGCTCCGTACCGATGGGTCGCCCAGGGCAGCCCAGTGAAATAGCTACTTGTTTTGTTTTCCTCGCAAGTGCGGATAGTAGCTATATTTCGGGACAGTGCTTGCATCCTAATGGGGGCGTGGTTGTGAACGGCTGACTCATATATCGATGGGAGAGCAAGCACCTAGCAAAGCACACACAACATAAATCAGATTTTGCATGAGTGCCATATAACCAAGAAAGAGTAAATAGACTGTTATTTGCAAGACTGCGCGAACGACGAGTAGTTCATAAACACCTATTTATGGGGAGAAGAACGCTGGTGTATTAGATCCTGCTGCCACTAAAATTTACCCAGTATAGTGCACGACTTGAAATCGCGGAACTAACGACGGTACCACATGCGCGTGATCCTGGTGTGCCTCATCTTCTTTTGGAGTTGAAAAATTCCGTACATCAGTGCCTCGGATGTAGGCGGACCTATAGTTTTTGGAAGTTAGTGAATGACACCATAATAAGGTGGGCAAGGCAAAACGAACATCCAGGGACATAAACATCCACAGGGACAATTCTGTCGCACCCACGAACGACAGAGTAGCTATAGTGGTAATATCCTCCACCGTTCGCACAACTTCCCATACTGATAACCCATCTCGGATCAGGCATTTGATCGTAAACCTGTCTAAGAGCGGGTGCCATCTTATTTGTCAAGGTACCGGCAACAATCATTACATCAGATTGTCGAGGAGAGGCTCTGAAAATGATTCCCAGGCGATCTTGATCGTATCTTGGTGTCGAAAGATGCATCATCTCCACGGCGCAGCAAGCAAGCCCAAACGTCATGGGCCAAAGTGAGCTCTGTCGTGCCCAGTTGGCAACTTGATCAAGAGTGGTCCTGTAGAATGTTATTTAATAGCCCATACATGGCAAGATAGCTGATATACGGACAGCACATATTGCATCGCACCCTGCTTTTTCTCCTGACTGGGCAATGGTACCTCCTTTCGTACCTTGCCAGAAGCAGTGAGATGTTGACCAGGCTGCCCTTGCCGTTCGAGAGCTGTCGCCGATTTGATAGCTGATGTTGAAAGACGTGACATATTCTGCGGTCGGAAGAAACGTGACGCCGGCAGCGGTCGCGCTGCCTGATTGTCAATTGATGGCCAGTTAAAGATCGACCAGAGAGAGACCTACCATGCAAAGCGCCTGAGACAGCGCGCCCGGTGAGAGGAAGCATAGTGATCAAGACCTCGTGGTGTGCTTGTAAAAGTTTCCGGAATCCCTGGATGGAATGTGCACGCAGCAACTCTGAGAAGTAAGGTAGGTGTAGGTACACCTTCGAGAATCAATCACAGTGGCGACTGAAGTAACGTCAAGGCGAAAGAGTCAGTTTGGATGGTTGTTCTGCGCTGATGGTACCAATGGATTACCCATTAGCTGTATTACTGTAATGATACATTCATCAGTGGAAATATGATAGAGCCACTAACGTAACCAGAGATGTAATAAAGAGTAATCTGTACAGAGGCAAACCTTGGCAGTGTCACGTGATAGCATAAGGTTAATTCAGGGTTGATTCATTGGCCGAGCTGCTATTACATAAATTGGTACCTAGACGGTGGCATCAGGGTCAAGTACAGTTCTTGATGCCGATTTCATGGGGTGACTTATCATCTACCTGAGTCTACGTAGTTCACCATCCAAGTCAACTCTCGCCATTCAAGGCCATCTTTGTGATCAGGGCTGATTGAGAGGAGGTGAGAGCTACTTCGACCTCATCACCTGACTTAGGTATGTTCATATCTTTGTGACGATACGGTCGAGCCTGTACTAAGGTAGGGGTCTGTTTCGCCGTGCACTTATGAACAGCTAGGGACGTTAAAATCCACTCCGTCTGAGTTCTTGTCATACTTGAAGGTCTATGGACTCGATTTAAACAAGAACACTTGAGATGCGAAAGTGAAAAGTGATTGCTATGATGCCTAAGATCGCCTGTATCGGTGTAATCGGTAAAGCCGTATGTATGTCATTGCACCTGGAGCAGCTCTGATACTAATGCTGCCTAGGACAACCCAATACATATAGCATTGTTCCCTCCATATCGCAACTCGGCTATCGAGTTCTCCTTCCTAGTAAACTCCTGCTTGGATATCGTTGAGATAAAGCGCAGACAAACGTCCATTGACCAGGATCTCGGCCTTTTGCACGCCGTGGACGAAAGCTTGGCGGCGTACGGATGGCTCACCACGACAGGAGTGAAGCTGCTAGTTATAGTTGATCTAGTCGGCGAAATAATTAGTCCAGAGGGGCTTGGGGCATCATCTAGGACTATTGTCAAGGTGCCTGACCTTAGGCCGGTATGTTATGCATCAGTACCGCGATCACTCAGCCAGCAATTGATACACCACTGACGACTCAGTGCTATAGGTCTTCCGTTCTCTGCAGGACGCTTATGTTCAACTATTGCAGAATCCATTCTATACCCCGACTGGGCACTCTGATACCGTCAAGCCTTCTGCTCAGGTGTCTAGCTTTCCGCATGTCGCAGACAAAAGATTTGCCAGGGAGATTTTACGAATTGGTGAGTCATGGGCACCACTTATGTCTCCACACTAGGAAGGTCCCGCTAGATCATGGCAATTGTGATCGTCATCTCGGAGTGAGTAGCATAGTTCAACAAATATTTGATCTCGGATAGTGCCGCTGAGTCGTGGTGAGAGCAAAGGCGGACTTGAAACCAAAGTTCCCTAGCACCTGCATGCTACTAGAATGTCCATTTGAGATATTCTCATCGTAGAAGACCGAAGGCCTCGTTCTAACCACGCCCAGATCTAGCCTATTATCAATTTATTGCTCTCTATCGGAGGGAAAGGGAGATTGGCTGTACATGGCTCAAGGTTAAGATCCAAAGCAATATATCTACGCCATGACAAGTGTAAGAACTTAGTACTCGGGATCGGTACCCGATTTTTCCAAATTACTTAGAATATCCTCCAGCTCCCGAGGATCGCATATGGACCAGACACCACCACCCTTGACCATGATCTTGCCAACTTCCTTACCAACCAAGTTTCTGCCAACCTTCCCTGGCCCTATTCCAATCCAACGAGTCACACCGTGATCCTGATCTAGATATCGAATGCTATCCCACCACCTAACGGTTTCAACGCATTGCCGAGAGAGCAGAGCCTTCAACTCCGCTATTGAACTAGTCGGCAGACCTGAAACATTTGATACGAATTGCATATGTGTGGGAAATCTGATGTTAATATTCTCCAGGGCATATCGCATGTAGTCAGCAGCTGGTGCCATGATAGGGTTGTGGAACGGACTCTCGCATTTTAGTTTCACCGCGCGAGGATCGTGGCCTCCAAATTGACGGAGCTGGACTATCAGAGTCCTGATTTTTGCAATACTGCCGCTAAGTACGATTTGGTTATTAGAGTTTATATTTGCAATCATGACATCCTGGAATGCTGAAGCCCCGTGATCAGTGTCGTCTTTCAATGCTGGCTTCGCGAGTCCAAGAAAGTCGTGGATGGCTTCCAGCAATTCCAGGAAATGATCAGGCTCGCAGACAAGAGCTACCATGCCATATTCATCTCCTGTTGTTTCGAAGGCCTTTCTCGTGCATTGGGACATGATCTCTGCACGCCGTCTGACCAATCTTAGCGCATCCCCAAAATCAAGGTAACCCCCAGCAACCAGAGCAGTGAACTCGCCCAGGCTGTGGCCCAGGGTAACGTCTACTAGCGTATCTGTATTGAAGCCGTACTCGTGTTCTAGTATCCGGAGTATCAACAACGATGTAGCCATGATAGCGGGTTGCGAGTTTTCCGTCTTATTGAGCTCCGAGTTAGGGCCCTGGGATATGAATCGAGACAATGGGAAACCCAAGGTGGAGTCCACCTCGCTCATGACTTTGTTGGATATTGTGGGAAACATCTCAAGCCATGGATTTGCCATTCCCATGCGCTGAACCCCATGGCCTGTGAGCAGAAGCGGTTAGAAGCTAAGATATAGTGAAGGGCGAGGGCACCCAAACCGGGGAAGAAAAGGGCTGTGCGTAGTGGTGTTTTGGCAGGAGATATAACGGAGCATCGACTTCGCGGATATCTGTGGAGCTGCATATAGCGGTAGCCATGGCACCCTCTGTGCGGCGTCGGTATCAAAAGGGAGGTGGGCATAGTTTCTAGTGACTCGTGAATCTAGCAGCCCGTAGTGCTCGTGCAGTTGCATGTCGCGGTAAATTAATGGGCATCATGACCTTGTGCCAGGAGGCTAGGTGAAGTTCTTGGCGTGGAGTGCAGGAGGCCGATACGAACAGCCATAAATGAAGGAGCGAGTGGTATTGTCACGTGATGTCTCGTGGACAGAAGTGAACGTTGTGGACTAGCACAGCTAATACTGATAAGTTGCTGTCGTGTAGATCGCACATCGGACTGCAAGCCATGGGGAATTGTAGAGCTATCTCTGATTACAGTAATTGTCTGCAAACTGGTTTATACAGTGATTCAGCTAGAGAATTATAGTCGCAGGTTATTATGAGCAGAAGACAGGAGAAATGATGTGCCTTCTTCCTGCTTAACAGGGTTACTGTCCATACCAGAAAATACTAGGTACAGAGTATGTTCTTTGCAAAAGGAAGTGAGTATCATTCAACGCAAGATTAAGGAAGGAAGCCTACTATACCTTTGAAATTCGCTGCCTATGTGTACATTATCAGTAGACATATATATACGTCAGGCAATATTTGAAAGAATATAGGCCAAAGAATATGTAGCGATCCACGGCTCCGATGTAGTTTGTGTACGACAATCATATACTACCAGTCATAGTAGTCCTTCATTTAACTCTAGGCAAATGTGAATGGTCCAGTGCGAATCAAAGCTGCCCTAGGCAGAAATCCTGAGCAATTGTGCCTGACCGCCTTCGGGTCGGCAGCACTTAATTGCGCGCAGCCGACACATGTCGAGTGTTGTTATTGACAATCATGAGCGCGGCCACGAGTTCATAGATTCGCGCTTTAGAACCACTATCCTCATATATCTACCTCACAGAACATTGATGATTGAATCACCCTGAAAGCGATTCTATTCGCTCTAAGTCCGTATTGAGATATCACAATGTTCGTACCAAAAGCAGCACTTGGGCCAGCAGCCGCATTGCGAAATCCCCGAAGACGACAGCGTACGAACTCCGATGAGACCGCGCAACAGCCTAATGCCAAACGTCAGCGCTCTGCTCTACGTCAAGATAGCGTCGAATCATCCGTAGAAATTTCTACCGGAAACCCATCTCGAAAACCATCTCTGGCTGCTGAAAACCTCGATCTTCCAAATATAGGACTCACACCCGCCGACGCGGCGAAGGAAATACCCATCAGAGCCGCCAAAAGACCTGGAAGCTTTAAGCAAGACGCTGCCGAAGCAGTGACCCTCGTCTGTCACTCATGCCACATTTCTACAGTCAATCTAACTAACGCTCAATTTTGCAGTCACAAACAGATTTCTACAGTGTTAAACAGCTGCCAGCTTTTCCAGATCAGATCGCCGGCTTACAATCAGGTCAGCACAGACGTGATTACGCTCTTACTACATTTATTGACGGGATATGCAGAACCTTACAGAGTTGTCTTTGGAAGGGGTTATGGTTTGGCACTGGCTTTGACAAGGTCTCATGCAATAATTTGGCCATATTCTGAGGATACTCAGCCACAGAATACGGAGGTTCTTACTCTACCCCTCCCAGAATTATGCAGGGGCTCCAATGATGCAGCACCTCTTGGACATCTTCTGTCAACAGCAACAGGCGGCTTGCCGGGACTAGTCGTTGTCACACCAAGCAGTGGCCATATATTGTACTGGGAAACCATAACGAGCGCCACATCACTCGGATATACCAGGCAGAAACTGTGTGGCCTGCAGGGAAACATCAATGGCCTCCTCTCTGGTGAATACGCTACTGATGTTATCAATTGTGAGCCATCTGGAGTTATCGTGATATTCTCCACCGGTAGAGTAGCTCACGTTACCGTGAGGGACCCCCAAGGGAAGCCGGCCGTAACGGCTAGTTTTCTCAAAAACCCCTCTGGTGGTGGTAAAATAGGCTTCCTTGGGGGGCTAAGAAATGCTCTTGGTGGAGGGTACTGGAGGAAAGACATTGCAGCAGTCCAAGCAGGTCAATCGCATCAGCGCGGACAGAGAGAAGTTATCATAGCCACTACCACGGGTTGCTTTGAAATCTGGGACACTCATTGGAATAACGGAAGCTTGCTTAAGAAGCAGTTCGATGTTAGGAATATAATTTTGGATGCGCTGAGCGAAAACTCATTTCAGCATGAAGAGGGTAACATCGAAATTTTCGATTTCGTGTTTGCCGGCGCCGATTCCAACACCCATCATGGTTCGAGTAGCGAGTCCAACACGTGGGATGTCTTGGTTGTCGTGGCCACGACTGCGGCAAGCTCACAAGACCTATACGTTCTCAACCTGAGGCTCTCCGAAGAAGCTCAGATACTGTCTAGTACTGCGATAAAGCATCGTGGTTCTTTGCCACATCTCGAAGCGACTCAGATCAAGCTTTTTGTTCCTAGCTCAGGTACTATGGGCTTTCTCGTGGTCGGACAGTCAATCATTTTGCTGTCACTTTCAAATGGAAAGGAAGACCTGGATGGGACTACACCGGACAGCGATCGAGGAGCAGGAGCATTCCACGATATCATCAATCTGCGATCTGGGCAACAGTACGATATCCTGGGTAGCGGATGTGAGGATCGGACTCCCGAAAGGACAGAGCCTGCATGTTTGATTATGGTTCGGGGCTTTGGTATCCTCCGAATCAACGCCTTGGCTAGCAATCAAGAGGCGACAAGCGCTGCGAATACTTACATCACTGCAAAGCATAGGATTGAGCAAGCGATCTTTTATGGAACCATCATGGAAAATCCATTGGACCTGACAAACAAGGAGGGCTTAGGGTTCCCCCTAGGGGAGGTTGAAGAGGCTGCCCTAGAGGTGACCAATGAAATACTGAATTCAACTTCGAGATACATACCGACGACTTCTATTACTGTGGATCAGAATCTAAGGTTGCGGGCAAAGGCTCTTGATGATCTTTCATCTTTGTTGATGCAACGGCACAAGGCTTTGAGTCGCTTGGTCTGGTGGGAAATGCTCTGGGGCGCGGAGAAAATCGCAGCTCAAAGAGCTGTCTGGAAGCTTGAAGAGTGTTGGCGAAAGCATAACGGTAAAGGTCAAACGCTGCTGGCTGACATACTAGAATCAATGAGGGAAAGATTCAAGACGCAACGAAACAGTGATAGTGACCCGGTCCGTCATTGGTTCCTCCACGATACCTTTCAAATGGAAAATATCGTGCCCTGGATCTACCACTCGGTCAAACCACAAAAAGGCAGTAACCTGAAGCAGAGTTGGAGGGCGGCAGAAAAGCTCTTAGGCGCCAGCGAGCTGTCACTAGCCGTTCTAGAAACAGCGTATCACTACAGAGACGAGCATGCTAGTCGCTACGGAATCATCGATGGCTATGTGGAGGATGGGGTATTCACAGGTAATTACAAGGGCCTCCGGGAGTTCTGGACATCCCGAAGCATTGAATATGTCGAGAGCGTACGCCTGTTGGATCTCGAGCTCGACACCTGCAGAGTCTGGCTCCAGCAGAGAGCAGGCTCGGCCGATATACCGGGAAATGACGTCTTGACGAGAATAGCGACAAATGGTGCCAGACAGTTCCATATCCTCGGTCAAATACACCGGGAGCGGGTTCGTTGGCTTGCTGCCCAAGAAGACCCGAAGTTGGTTGATGAAGGGATCGCCGTCGAACACACACACGTCAAGCAGCGCAAATGGCAGCTTTTCAAACTCGCCGGAATCGGTCACCTGGAGGAAGCAATCAAACTAG